CTTGGTTACTTTTCTCTTGTTGCTGGAACAAAATACCTGACACCCAAAATCAAGGAAGGAAAGACTTATTTAGCTCACAGTTAGCGGAGGCTTAAGTCTATACTTGGCAGCCTCCAAGGCAGAGTGGCACATGGGAGCAGAGAGCAGTTCATGGTGGCGGAAGACAGCAAAGAGCAAAGGCAAAAGGGAGAGGCAGTGGCAGCAATGCCCGTGACCTGCGCTGGAGCACTCTGATCCTGGTACATGGGGTGCCGTGTAAGGGCAGAAAGAGACTTGTCTGTCCCTTGCTTGCTTTGCTGCCCTTCTCCTGCCATGAACCCTTTTGCTTCTGCAGCGCCCCACTGCCATGCAGCCGATTATGGACTAAAACCTCTACAAACCATGAGACAAATAAGATTTTCTTCCTTTAACATGTGGGTGTCAAGTATTTTGTCTCAGCAACAAGAAAAGTAGCTAAGATAGGCTATCACGTCGTGTAGGGTTAGTGGATGTGTTGCATAAACCAACTAGAATGGTGTCTAATTTATAGCTTGTACTTCTCAAAACATGACTAGATTTCAGCAAATAGAAGATACTGCCATTGGGTACTCCTTGAGTTCAGAGATACTGACTTAGGAGAAAAGGTACCTCTTAGCATTAGCAAGATCCCATGGATAGGTGTTGTTGAGAATGCTCGCTTACGTTACAATTATGAACCCTAACTAGAACGCAAAAACATATCTGATACTGTAGACTTTCATAAGTATCTGTGAGGTATGATCACCAATTATGGCGAATTATTTAAAATGTATTTAATTTAAGGACTCGGAACCATCAATCCCCTGAGGACATCCCCCTTCCTTCTGAATGCACATCAGTCTTGCGCTGTTTAGAAGTCCTCTTCCACGTGAATTTTTTGGTCACACTGTCACTGTCTCAACATCCTGAATTGATTCAAAATATTTAGGGTAATTTCTGTCAAGTAAAAATATCAGCCTGTCCTCACTCACTTTATTCACCAGATCTAGCACCACGTAACTTCTGGCTTATCCCCAAAGGTAAATGAAAAGTTAACATTTTGGAAAAAGTTTTCAATTAGCAATAATTGCACCTCAGATAAACCTCGTTGGCTACAATACTGCCACTGCGCAAAGCTTGAAAAGTGAACGTTTTGGATGGATTCAAGGCAGCCGCAGCACTGCACCTGAAGCTCTCAGGCAAGAGGATGTCCAAACTGCTTTTGCAAGTGGCAAAAGTGACGGGATAAGTGTATTCAAAAGAGAGGAGAATTTTAAGGGGAATGAAAGACAATATGTCTTTTACTGGAACAAATATTTGTATTTAAACATGCACCCTATTTTTGATCATCCCTTGTACATGTATGCAAGTTAAATCAATGATTAGTAAGCTTTCAAAATAGCACCAAGTCCACATGAATTTATTGCTGAATTCTACCAAACATCAAAGGAAAAAAATTATTCCAATTCTGTGCAGTTTCTTTGAAAAGGCAGAAACAGACTGCACTTTCTTATTCATCCTATAAGATCAGCATCGAC